CCTGGTTGAAAATAGTGGGCGTGGCTCCATGGAAAATAACAAAATGGACAGAGTAACTGATGGTTCCTTCCTAGTTGTATTTTTTTTGGAAAATGTAAGGAACCAATGTGACTTCTAGAAATTATAGTCCTTGGATCCTAGGGACCTAGATTTCAATCTTAGTTCTGCTGTTTTCTAGGCTTGTGAACATAACCCCTCTGAGTCTCAATTTCCTTGCCAGCCAAAGGGAACAATAATGACTGCCTGTGGGTTATTCTGAGCATTTAGTGAGGTGATGTCTGCCGAACAACCAGCAGTGTACACACCCTCAGTGAAGGTCTGAAGTGAGAGGAGGGTCAGTGGGCTCTCTCCAAGTTAAATGAACCCATAATGGTCTTTCCTTTTCCTTGGGCCGGGAGGGCTAACCAGGCTGGGTAGTGCTGCCCAGCTGGTACTGACCCCGAGAGAGGACGGAGTGGACTGGAGTTGGGCCTGAGACAAGGATGTCCCTTACTGGCAGCTACTATGCTTGTGCCGAGAAGAATAATCAGACTGTTCAAGAACGTTCTGAAGTCAAATCTCTAGGTATCGATCCAGAATGGGTCATGAGGGTAAAGATCCTGAGGACCTAAGTAAGGCGTGTGACCGAGGGAGAGTCGGGGGGCGTGAGGCTGAAATAGGGCGTGTTTAGCGGCTGATCCCTGTGACAGTCTCAATCCCCTGACAAACAGTCTGTGGAATCTGGTTACTGCTGTCTAGGGAATTTCTGGGAATGCGTTCTTGCTCAGCCACCACATGAGACTTTCTGGTTCTGTTCTTCTTCACTGTTACCAGTTAAAGGCCAATTAAGGCCAATTAAGGCCAATGCAACCTGGCCATCTCGAGTAGGGGAATTCAGCATTCTGCTGAGCTAGATTGGGGCAGCTGAGAACATCACAGGGTGTTATGACAATAATTCAAAACAAAGAGAAATGGCCACAGATTGCTAAATAGAGACAACAGCTGAAACTTTCTATCAGATTTCCAGCAGAAGCCGCAGGCAATATGTGACCTGGGCCATGGCTCTAGAAGCAGAGCTTGTGGAGAGAGAGAGCATCTCTGCAAGCAGGAGCCACCGCTGATGCCCAGAAGGACAATCGTGGGGAAGAGGCAGCCTAGTGTAGAAGTCAAGAGCAGGGGCTTGGGGGTGAGGTCAACCCTGCACTGTTTTCCCAGCAACTGGAGCAAGTTATGTAACTCCTTTGTTTTCTTATCTTTAAAAGACATTGGACACATGCAGATTCTCTGGAAGAACATGCATTTTAGAGAAGATTGCACAGATAGGGACTGAGATGGGAGAGATACTTGTCATTTTGTATCTTTATACGCTTTCATTTCTGAACCATGTGGATGCATGTCCTAGTAAAAACAGTAGATGAAAAAAGAAAAAGGCAGGTGATGATAGTTTATATCTTACAGGGTTATACAGGCCTGATGGATGGTAATTACTCACGTAAATTTGCTCTTATTGTTATAAATACAGGGATGCCGGCAGGGTCATCGGTCAGTGCTTTTTGCCCCTCATTTCCAGCAGTCTCTCTCTATTACATATTCAGATCAATGCCTCATCAGCCTTACATTGTGTTTGTAATCAATGCAATTCTGCCCCTTAAAAGCAGTCTTGTAAATGGGTAAATCAAATAAATGAGTACCACTTGCAAATTAGATTGTAAAATGTACATTTTTTTAAACTTTTAACACATTATAGAGAACTATATCAAAATATTGGCAGTGGCCTTTGGCGATGTATAATGAACACCTCTATAACCTTCACCTGTATTCACACCAACTGTAAACATTTTTGCCACATTTGCATTCTCTGTCTTTCATTTACACACAGACACACACACATGCCATAGTTTTATCTAAACCATTTGAAAGTTGCGGATAGGACACTTCTGTCTCTAGATACTTCAACCTGTGTCTTCTGAGTACAACAAATGTCTTCTCCTATATAATGACAACCAATGATTGAGCCCCAGTAATTTCGCCGTTAGGTAAGACTGTTATCTACTGTGCAGTCCGTATTCAAATGTCCCCAAGTGTCCTAGCTGCTTCCCTGGATAAGATCCTCGGTTGCATTTGGCTGTGTCCTTTAGAGCAGTTAAGTGGGCTTGCTCGGTCTTTCATGATGCTGACATTTGTGAAGAGTCTAGGTCAGGATCTGTCCTACCCTCCCTGCTCCAATGTCCTTCAATCTGTACCTGTCTGTTTCCTTAGAAGTAGACTCAGGTTAAATGTGTTTGGCAGAAATACTACAAAAGGTGATGTTCCAATGCCACCGTCGATAAATGTTTTTTATCTTTCTCTCTTAAATGTGTGAAGTCAGGAGTAATTTTTAAAAATACTAATATTCTTATTTTGGAATATCCAGCAGGTCAGTTACTGATAAGTGACTCTAGTCATCACGTCATGATTGAGGCCCTGGGCTATTTGTACAGGTCGCTCGATTTAAGGGCCACTTCCCTGGGGTCTTCTCATTCATCAGTCCACGGCATCCTGCAGTGAGTTCCTCTTCTGTGTCTCAAAAAGAAATATGCTTCTGGTTATTCTTGTCTTATGCATAACCTCTTGACAATTTCTTATCTTTTGCAGTCTTATAAGGGAAATTGAGTGGATCCGGGGCAGGAGATTTTGGCCTCAAGGCATGAGCTGGCAATACGCTGAGGGTTCTAGAAATGGCACCTCCTTGTGGAAGCACTTGCTGAGGTTAAACTACCACAGCGCCCAGAGTCCTAATACAGTGAGTTCTGCAATGTGCACAAATGCAGATAAGTTGCAGAGGGCTAAAAGCACAGACTTGGCACCTGATACGATTTCAGATAAATCCAAAATTGCTTCCAGAAAAGGGAAAAAGGTCTTGAGACCCATTATTTCTATTTCTGCTGAAGAAAAGACCCAACAGAAGACACGCAGTACTGTTGAAATATGGAACGGCCCAGGAAAAGAAGCATCAGAGAAGAGCAAAGACTATTTTTCTAAGATTTTATCTGTGGGTACAGTGGATGATGTAGTAAAGCTTTCAAGACAAAGGACTTTGTCAGCTGATGTGGAGAGTGGAACTGGGCAAGTCACCAACATGTACCAGCATCGCCTGCTATGGCCTCTTAGCACAAACAATCCCTCTGAACCCATAACGGATCTCATCTCAGAAAAGTGGCTTTTTCATAGGCCAGATTTCAGTTCCACTCCTCAGAAGTGTTTTTTGCAGAAATCTCAGTTTGAAAGATATTTGTTGAGGACCTCAAAGGATACTAATAAAGAATTAAAATGATTATGGGCTCTTCCGTGTCTGTAAATTTTTTCTGCCTATTTTATTTAGACCTTTTTGATGAGATGTGTATATTTTTAGCTGCTTAAAAATACTGTAACAGATTTTTGCTAAGAAGAACGATTTTTAAGTGATTCACATTTGTATGGTAGGTATGTGAGTGTTGATCTCACAGGGTTCCATATCTACAAGTATAGAGAAACAATGCTATAAAGTTCTAATTTGTGTTAGTTTTACATTGTTATAGTTTATCTGTTTTGAACTTATGACTTAATTTTTCAAGTTAACAATTGCTATCACTCAAACTTTTTAATGAAACATGAATAAGAAAATATATAAATTAGACTAAACTTTATTTATTAGAATAAATAAAGTTTAAAGTACCAGAGTCCATGGACTTGAAATCATATGTTTTAAGCATTTTAATTGCCTTTTATTTTATCAGTGATTTGTCTGATGCTACCCATTAACTGTTAAGGAATACTTATTGGCTCTTCTTCCTTAACACCCAACTAAATCCTACCTCGTACATTAGGAAGCCAAAGGGAAGAATCAGCTCAGCTGCGTAATCTTAGGAAAGTTATTTCACTTCTCTCAGCCTCGGTTTCATTATTTATGACACAGGAGAGATTATGCACCTACTTTTCAGGATTACTGAATTACTGCATGAGAGAGTACACACAGCGAACCCTTCAATAAGTAGTAGTTATTATCTGACATGGTTTAACCCAGAGGCCACCTTTTCCCATGAGGCATCTCCTGACCTGCCCGGCCACAGCTAAAGCCCACACGAAAGCTTTGTGCTATTTGCCTTCAATCGTTTCACACCTATTTCATGAATGACAGTATGGTCACCCAGGCAGAGTGCCAGGCTTGAGAGTTATTCCCCTCATCCAATCCTGCTCAACAGTAACTAATAGCTCCGGGAGTCCTCGCAGCTCAGTGATTCTCAGTCAGGTCCTGGGTGGGCCTTATCAGTCTTTCCCGCAGGACCTGAGAGGATCAGAGACGTTGCACTGTGGGAGTTGCTGTTTATTTGACTTTGATGGAACCACAATGCACAGAACAGGGGCAGCCTAGCAGGGCTGAGAAAAGACAAGCGCACCATGCAGTCGAATGCGGGAAGGAGCTGGGTGGCAGTGTCCCAATGGCCTCCCCAGCTCGGCAGAAATCTCCTGAGGGGCGCTTGACTTCTAGGTTATGAAGTGGGGGTGCCTTTCAAGCACATCAGCTCAGCTGCCCTCTCACCGGCAGCACTGAAAGGATCCAAGCTGGGGATCTGGGGACGTCCCGGACCCACTCTCGCGATCCGGGAGAGATCCAGAATTCAGAGGCCATTAATGTGGAGAGAGGTCACCTCCAGAGTGAGGGGACAGGCACAGGCCGCGGGAGGAAAATGCTGCGGAGCTCTGCAGGCGGTGCAGGGGTCACGTTCAGTGGGCCAAGGCCAGCAACGAGTCATCCCTTTCCGTGTGGCCTCGGCCTGACCCAGCGTTCGCCCAACCGCGCCGCCACTCCAGTGCGGTGCAGGGTCAAGAAGCAGCCGCGGCCAACTCGGCGCGCGGCCCCCGCCACTTCGGCCCCGCCTCTCCTCCTGGCCCCTCTCCGGCCCCGCCCCGAGTGCACTAGGCCCCGCCCTCCCGCCCCGCCCTCGTGTAAGCTCCGCCCCACCGCGGCTGAAGGGGCGGCCGCGCCGCCACGTGTTCAGACGCAGGGAGCTGCCTGCCTGCAGGACTGGGTGCGGGCGGAGCTCCGGCCCCGCGGTGCCCGGCGTAGCCGGGCGGAGGCAGGCATGGCCACCGAGGCTGTGGCTGTGGTGGCCCGTGGGGCCTGGGCCAGGGCGGTGGCGGCGGCCCTGCGGAGCGGATGCGGGACTGCGGCCGGGGTACCGCTGCGTGCGGGCTCCGCACGGCCCTTGTGCACAGCACCTGGAACCGCTCCGGACATGAAGCGCTACCTGTGGGAGCGCTACCGGGAGGCGAAGAGGAGCACGGAGGGTGAGTGCGTCGGGCCCCAAGCCAGCTGTACCTGGGCCGGGACCCTCCCCGCTGGGCTGGGGCGCCGGGTCTTCTCCGCTGCGTTCAGCCGGAGACCGAGCAGCGGACCCGCACAGGATCGCAGTCGTGACCCTCGGTCGCCGGGGTCGCCCCCAACCGCGGGCGACATCGGGTCTGCATTGCGATTTGGGGAAACCCGGAAAAATGCGCCTCCAGAAAACTTTGCAACTCTTGTCTTTTGCTGCCGGGAAAGCTGTTTTATAAATTCTTGGGGTTTTTAGCTAGACATCTGCATCAGCAGCGCTTCGGGCTCTCCCGGAGGGTTCACCCACATCACTCGGGGACGGTCACCCTCACGCACCGTTAGACACTGTTAGGAAGGAGCACTAATAATAGGAACAGCCCGAATCCGACCAGCCGCGGATCACTTTGCCTCGGGGCTTCAGCGCAGGTGGCGGTGCCTGAAGGCTACCGATTTCCCTTCTTTGTTTTAGGGGCAGGTGGGATTTGCTGTTTGGAGTAGGAGAGAACGCAGGTGTGCAGTGTTCTGGGCTATCTACCAACCTCAGCAAGGAGGGGGTTGCCGGGAGCGAGGACTTCGTGTCTTGGTGAACTTAAAGTTAGCTTGGTTCCGTTGTTACTAAGGGGAATGGGCAAAGACAGAAAGAGGACGGAGTAAATATCAGTGCCAGGCACAAAGATTGTCTCCCTGAATAATTCCTATGCCTAGAGGGGCCTGACCTGGGATCAAACCTCAATCTTGGCGCTTCAGACCACGCTCTAACCAACCGAGCGACCTGGCCAGGGCAGGACTCAAGTTTAAGGAGCCTGCCCATGGTCACACCTTGATGAATCTGTCTCAACCTCTCACTCACCGTCTTATTTACTGCTTTGTTCTGCCTTCCAGAAGTAGCGGACCATTTGGGCACTGGCGTAAAGGGCCAGTGATTTGGTGCAGCATCTTTTGTTGGGGGAAATTGATAGCTATTTTAAAATATAGCACAGCAATTAGGGGACTGTTTTTACAGCCCAGGTGTTTAACAGCCCAGTGATTTGCCTTGTTTCTTCTAGCTTATGGACTACATACCAGAGATAGTGAAACGCTCTGCTTTCTGCTTCTGTAAATTGTCTCCTGCTTTGGTCTGAAGGACAGGCCTCCCCCCACCTCTACCCCCCCACCCCCCCCCTCTATAAAATAACTGTTTTCCCTTTGTTCAAGGCCCAGAATTTGGAAACTGACTCCTCTGGGTCCACGCGCGCGCGTAAAATAAACTTTCACTCCGTACACCTGAAAGCGGTTGAGTTGTTTTCTGTAACACTTTCAAGGGAGATTTAGAATGGAAAATTGGAACAGATTTTTTGAGGGTGTCAGTGAAGGGTGACACATAGAGATAAGGAGAGATTATTTGGTGGGAAAGAACATTTCGCAGAATCACATTCCCCCCCCCCCCTTTTTTTTTTGGCTAGAAGTCAACTTAATGAAAAAAAAATCAATTGGGATAATTTTCTGAGGGAATTCAAAGTGGCCAGCAAGGCAGAGTGCTATGTAACAGGGCTATTTTCTTGGTTTTCCTTTGCTCAGACTTAATTTTGCATTGGTTTTTGAAGTGGTTGTGTGGTATGGGTGAAAAAAGGACTGGCTTTGGAGACAATGGAAATTGCAGATTTTTGGTGAAAGAAATAGAAATCACATAGCCCAGCTTTTGAGCAGGCAAGACTGTTAAAAATTGAAACTCTTCTTTGAGATAGTTGTGTATTTATAATATACAATTGTGAGAATGAATACAGGGAGATAGGGCACATCCTTTACCCCAGTGTCTCCCAATAGTAACACTTTGAAAACAGTAAGTAGCACAGTATCATGACTAGTATATGGGTATTGATACATTTCACAGCTCTTGTGCAGAGTCCTCTGGTTTTACTTGCACTTGGGTATATACCAGTAAACTTTGGTGTGTGATAATTAATCCCAGGGGAATTTTGGAATATGACAGTTTGAGGGAGATTTTGAGATAGATTAGCCATGTGACCTTGGTGGCAAGTTGTTCTCCTCTCTGACCTTGGTGTTTGACACTGTAACCTGGGGATAATCTGAGGATTTTTAGTGTGGGCTGGGCACCCACCAGATGCTCCGTAGATACTGGCTATTGTTATCAGTTACTAAATAACTCTTTCAGTTTTAGACACATTTAATAAGCAGGGGAGTGGGTTACTTACCTCTGGGTCTAGATCTCCTTCACCTGGGCCAGCGCCATAACTAACTGTGTGGCCTTGAGCAAGCCATCTGATCTCTTGAGCTTTGGTTTCTTCCTTTGTAGAATGAGGCCACTAAATAAGGTGTAAACCTTTTTGCGGGTCTGAATCAGATCCTCACATGCCCCATCCCATCTTCACACCTCAGCACTTGGTCTGCCCCTCCATCACCCCTGAGAACACAGGGACATCAATTTGACATTTCCTTCTTTGCCCCGTGTGGGCCTGGACCACCCCTGTGCCCTTTGGCTGAAGTCAGTCCGAGCATGTGTGCCCTGCTTGCAGTCATTCACCAAGTATTTATTAAGCACCTAGCAGTGGGTTTGAAGGCTGTGGATTCACAGGTGGACCAATCTGAGAGGGAGGGGCCCACAATGTCCAAGCCCCTGCCTAAGCGAGCAAGGGACCGGTGTTGCCCGGAGGGGGAGACTGGTAAACAGATAAGGGACAGTCTAGCTGGGGGAGATAAACACTGGGCCCCAGGGGCTCAGAGACCAGAGCAAATAACTGCTCAGGGATGCAGGAAATGCTTGGGAAAGGCTCGGGGATGAGAGGTCAGAAGAAATACAAAAGCAGGTAGTGGTTTGTTTGTGTGTTTTGGTTTACAAGAAGACAAAAGAATTTTGTTGTCTCACCTCCTGGCCATCCGATCTCTTGCTCTAATCCAAGCCATGTGTCCGGGTACCTTCCTTCGAAGGTGCTCCCACGGTGGAGCTGCTCTGGGGAGAGAGGGTTCTACTCTGCTTTACTATTTCTCTCCCATCTTTTCTATTTTCATTTTTTTCAAGTATTCATTTTAATTTTTAAAAAGTATTTTTACAAGCTTTATTTTTTAGACCAGTTTTAGATTTATAGAAAAATGGCATGTTTCTATAAACCTTGTTAACTTCTTACACGATTATGGGTTTTTTTTTGAGATTTTCGGAAGTGTAGTATTTCTGTACTCTGTATGAAATTTAGCTCAAAGAAAACATTCTTTGTAATTTTAGGAAAAGAAATATTGGTTTATAATCTCTTGCAAAATTTTCCTGTAGAGCTATGGTTCTCAACCAGAGTTGGGGAGTGGGTGTGCATTTTGCTCCCTGGGGGGACATTTGACAACGTTTGGAGACCTTTTGGGGGGGGAAAGGAAGGCAGGTTGGCCCCTAGCTGCTGGAGGCCAGGGGTGCTGCTAAACATCCTGTAATGCACAGCACAGCCACCCATGGCAAAGATTACCAGCCCCAAACATCGGTTGTGCCAAGACTGAGAAATCTTGTCCTAAAATGATGAATTCTAGGAAATCATTATGCAAAGATAATGTAAAGGGATGGACATATTTGCATGTGGTCTGTTATGTCCTGTTATAGTGCATGCTGTGTGCACCTTTGAGCTTAATCCCCGGCCTCCCCTGTGTTCTGATTAGTGATTAGCTGGCCCGTTATGTCCAGAGTGGAAGCAGTCCTGCTGCTCCGGCCCTACACTTGGAGAGCTGGGTGGGCTTCCCGCTTTAAAGTCGTCTCAGAGCCCAAGATGAAGAGTGACTATTTTCCAAAGTAAAAGAACTTCAGAAGAATGCCTAAACTTCTAACCTTTTTGTAAGAACTTCAGAACAACTTTTACATTTTTGCAAATTTCTGTGGTACCCGGATTAATGGGAGACTGCTAGCTTCTAGGGTCTGATTCTGCGTCATTCTGTTGCAGAATCAGAAATTTTGTTTCAAATGTAGTTGCATATAGCTTGGTTTTGGGAACGCTGGGAAGTGTGATGGATTTCTGTGGAGCAGAATGACAGATATTACTTACAGAGTAATAACAGATATAATTTTAACTTTTGGTGGAAGTAGTATAAATGTCAGGTGCTATTAATTATTCAGATGAGTAATTTTATTTGTCATGGATTGAGTTCCCCTGGAGATGATGTAAAATATCTAAACTAGTGAAGAAAAGGAAAGCTTCTTTGTAGAGAAGCGCAATAAAAATGGCTTGTGAATTCAGCGGCCTCCCTGGGGGCGGACCTGGGGGAGTGGCATGCCCAGCCCCGTGTTAAGTACCTCCTATCTCCTCTGGCAGAGTGCCGCTCTTGGTCTCTCTCCCTGCCTGTGATGTTCCTCACTATATTTTGTGCTTTACTCTTATTTCTATTTATTAGCCCTGCACAGTGCCCCATATAGTGTCTGGCACATAGTAGGTGTGCAGTAAGTGCTTATTGAAGAAATTCCTGAGAGTTGAGTAAATGGGGAAACCAATTTACCAAAGCACTACATGTTGTATGATTTCATTGCTATAGAACGCTAGCAAATGCAAACAAATCTGATCAAGTGAACAGCAGTTGCCTGGGGATGGGCAGGGGTGCAGGAGAGAGGGAGGGACAGAGTTCAGAGGGGTACAAGGAAATGTTTGGGGGTACTAGATATGCTCATTATCTTTTTGGGGATGATGGCTTCACCAACGTATACATATGTCAAACAGTATCATACTGTATTACACTATGTGTGATTCGTTATATGTCATTGGTACCTCCATAAACCAATAAAGGGGAGACAGACACAAATAAGGGATGGGCTCTGGTTTAGCCCCCGTTAAGGCAGTTCCCAGGAGGTGGGACCCCAGGAATGGCCCAGTGTGAGCCACATGGTCTACTCCGGACCAACAGCTGGGGATGGACGGATGGGGCAGGGTCCCAGGAGAGGCCAGAATTTGTGTTTTTAGAGGTGGAGAAGGGTTATTTCTTACCTAAGGGTTGGGGTGTGCTGGGCAGATTGCCT